GTCGTGAGGATTTAATAACACCACGTGTGTCAAATCCGAGGATCAGAATTTGGCAGAGCACAGGGCTCAAGAGATAGAGTTTCTGGCAGCACTAATTATTCCCTTATTTAGAAAGTAGGATCCCTCACTCTGAAGTAGCCTTGGGTCTCTTTCCAGATCTTCTGAAAGTGAGATCTCTCCTTTCTCTCAAACCTCCCCCCGCCCACAACACTCAAATTTCAAATTAAGAACCACCTAGAAAACCATTAATACATAAGCTATCAGTTTATTTTGAATTACGATGTTTAAAAGACAAAGCGAAAATATATTCCTGGTCTTAAAAAAAAATCCAATCATTGCTGGGGGACATATAACAGTCTCTCTCTTCCCCTTCCTCCTCTTCCTTAAATAATCTCTGAATCCTTCCCGAAAATTTCCAAGCATTCAAACACATACGCGTATGTACATACTTCTTGGTTTTCCTGCCAAGGAAAACTTGATGTTTCGTGACTCACTCTGTTCTGCATCTTACTTTTTCCACTTTACAATCTCTCTTGGAGATATTTCCATGTCATTTAGCTAGCTCTTCCTCCCCCTCCCTCCCCCCACTTTTATTTTATTTTTTGTTAATCCTCACTCGAGTACATTTTTCCATTGATTTTTTTAGACAGTGGAAAGGAGGTGGGGGGAGACACACACACACAGAGAAACATGGATGTGAGAGAGATACATCAATTGGTTGCCTCCTGCACACACCCCAACCAGGGCCTGGGACCAATCCTGCAACAGAGGTACATGCCCTTGACCTCGATCGAACCCGGGACCCTCAGTCCACGGGCCAACACTCTATCCACTGAGCTATACCAACTGGGGCTATTACTAGTTTTTAAAACTTTTTGCTTTTTCAGATATGTATGGCCGGTCTCATTTGCTTGGTCCTCTTGATGTATATTTAGGTTTCCAGTCCCCCCCCTCCCCACCAGTACTGTAGGGAATGCTTCTGCTTTTTCGTGTGCAACTGGGGCATGTGCCCTTGACTGGAGTCGAACCCGGGACCCTTACGCCCGTGGGCCGATGCTCTGTCCACTGAGCCAGGCCGATTAGGGCCTCTTTGTCTATCTTGATAGAAACTGGCAAATTGCCGTCTCACAAGGCACACTCAGTGCACCTAAGGGCCTTCACCCACGTGGAATACTGCCCTTGTTTAAATATATCTTACTGTTGTTTCCATTTTTTCTTGTTGTTAACCCTCCCCTGAGGATATTTCCCCTATTAGTCTTTAGAGGGAGTGGAAGG